GCTGTCCCTATGATTCTGTTCTGGAATAAAATAATCTATAGGAACAACGTGATATATTATCTAATTGAATATATATTGAATATATATATTGAAATTTTGGCTCCTTAACACCTGATTAGTGAAATTTCGACTATTTTTTAAATTGACAGTAAACGTGAAAATAACTTTTAAATCAAATCATAAGAACYCTATGATACTACTTTACAACTATTGATAGGAAGACAAACTTTTCAACGACAACAAAAAGTTTCACGATAACACTCCATGCACAAGTAACGTCTTAGAAGTCTTAGTTAAGTCCACTAAATGTTGAYAAGAATATAACATTCTCTAATATTACCGATTAATTTCTAGTGGTAATGGARTAAAGCCTTAAGCTTTTTAGATATATCTTCCTTTTCGACCTTTTAACTGCATTATTAATTTGGTCGATTTTATTAATAACTACTTGAGCTATCAAAATGGAAAAAAWWWTTTKTTTCAAAAGTAAGCCATATATGGAATTTTGCCCAGTAGGGCTAATTTATGATAAAGCGTTACGAGAAAAACACACTTTACCATAAAATATMTATTTTCTACTCTCAACGGTCAGTCTTCTACGTTAACGACCTGGCAATGCATCAACCTTTTAATTTACAACAGGGTTTTTCTCGTTTCGCCTTTTTCCACAACTTTTGTTTGATCGTCCATGTCAATGTGTACTTCAAGTGCTGTGGAGCATTCACCCCTCTCTTGCTTCTCMTTTCTCTCTTTATCATCGTCATTTTGAGTCACTGGATTGTAAATGTTTTCAAGTTGCGGTCCATCTTTCCTGTGTATATGAAAGTCTTATGACTGAATGCAAACACTATAAATGACGCCTGAAAGAATGAATCACGAACGGTCCATAAAAAATGACTGAATCGAGCAATGAATATTCAAAAACAGGCGGATGTAAAAGATGAATGTGTGGATAAGGTAAAAGGTAAAAGGTAAAGGTGTTGGGTGCTAATCGTCCTTCATGGCAGCACGGGTGCTGAATTGCGAAGGACGCAGCTCGACGCGCTATCAAGTCGAAGTGCTATATTACAGACACATTTTTACATACACTTACACATAGGCGTGCTGCCGGCTAGGCGCTTCCTTTACATAGCAACGAACGACTGAACGCGGAGCACAGCAGATAGAAATGGTTCGTTTTTACTGAGGGAGGAAAACCCGGAAAGACCCGGAAAAACCCTCGACGCAAGGGAGAGAACGAAAGAAACTCAAATCACATATGGCGCCCCGACCGAGATTCGAACAGGGTCCACAGAGGTGACAGGCCAGCGCTCTCACCGCTCGGCCACCCATGCGTCCCTTAGCCATCATGGCCATAGAGGAATGAGTGAATAAATAAATAACCAAGATGAAATTGACAGACGAAAAATACCTGCAATTCGCCAGAGATGATGACTCCTTAAGAGCTACACTGGACTCCAARTCATCGTCAATGAAAATACTGATGTAAGCATCATATGCTTCATGCTGCAAGTAGACAACAGGTAATGTTATAATACAACAAACGTATAGACAAAGGTCAATTACATCGACATTATTCCAAATGATTTCTTCTTGTGTTTCAGTCTCCTGGCATTCGAGAGTCTTAGTTTCGGTTGTCTATTTTGGAAATGTGTTTTCATTAGGAACCTTTTGACTGAATAATGCATCGGAGGAGTTTTTCCATATTTTTCACTTTTTCCTGTAAATAATACTTGGGATTGTTCRGAGAATGTTTTGTAACGGTCATGTTGATTCTCTATCTTCTGGCTCCCAAAAAAGAGAGGAAGTCTGTGGTTCTTACTGATGACTGTGGAGGAGGTTAGCACTACCTACGCTATCAGCTTACCTCGGAAACTTTTTTCTCGATGACTCCTTCTATTCTCCGCACTAGTTGTGAAAATGTCGGTCTTTCACTTTGTTCTTGTAGCCAACAATCTCTCATGATAGCATATATTTCAGGTGGACAATCCTTTGGCTGTCTCATTCGATTGCCTTCAGAAAGGAAGTCCATTAACTCCGTCACTGAGATATCAGGGTAGGGTGTGCCTCCGAGCGTCTGGGTCTCCCATAACACAACACCAAATGACCAGCTGATTTAGATAAGAATAATAGGATAATAGCAAACTGGTAAAAATATTTCATTTTTCATTAAGTTTTAATCATTTAGAGTGCTATAGGACAACTCTGCATGGTATGATTGTCCTTATCCATGCCGAAGAAAACAAATTTCCGGATATTGTCCGAATACGTGTGGAAGCTGCTATGCAAAAAGCCGTTGCCGGTTTTGTGAGGACCCATAACTCAAACATTTTACAAAAGATAATGGTAGTCTATCTTTATCTGAAATCGCACACTATTTAGACAATTAGGACATATCAAGAAAATGCACTTACACGTCTGTCTTTTCAGTAAAGATTCTATCAGCGAGTGATTCAGGAGCCATCCATTTTAGAGGCAATAAGCCTTTCGCCTTTGTAACATACAGTTCTGATTTGTAAATATCACGTGATAGACCAAAATCAGCAATCTTGAGGACGTATTCGTCACCAATAAGGATGTTTCTCGCAGCCAAGTCACGATGGACGCACTGTTATAATGAATATAGCGATTACTTTAAAAGTGAGTAGTGAATAAGAGGTATACAAGAATGCGGAGAATTGGATACAAAGAAATTTCACAAAAGAAATTTAAGCAATTAAATTTTCTACGCGAAAGCGTATTGAGGTATTCAATGACGGCATAAGACTCACGCTGATTTGGGAAATAAACTATCTATTCTGTACCGCATGTATTTGTCCTCGGGAATACAGTTCTATTGCAAGCCCAAATGAGTTTACTTTATCAATAGCCTTAACTTACGTTGCTTGGAAAGTTAAGTTGGTGGATATAAAATTGCGTTATGTTAAGATAACGATTGGTTTCCTAATCTGTGTTTCTCGGTCCAACTCCCAGCAACAAATTTAGGTTGTATGTCCCCATTCTATTTTTTTTTGTCAATGTATTTGTTGTGAACCCAGTCCAAGTWCATAAATTATTACTTTCACAATAGGTGTTTATTCGATTTACCTTTTTTGATGACAAGAAATCCATTCCACGAGCGATCTGATAAGAGTACAAGACTAAATCTGCTAACGTGAATTCAGCATCCGGGTTATTAGAAGTCTTACTCCACGTGGGTTCGTAGATATCACGTCGACTGCGCAAAAATTTCAACAAGTTTCCATGAGGCGCATACTCCATGATGACCATGAGCTGCTTGGCTCGAGTACATGCGCCAAGAAGGTTGATGATGTTATTGTGCTCTCCGATGTGTATCATAATTTTCAGCTCTGTTGCGAGGTCTTTATAATCACTCTCGCTTGCCTCTACTAAAGTTGAAAAAATAAATAGTAAGAAAAATTCCTCGCGTTAACAGAATGATGCGGGGCGGCACATCAATATTGACTTCTTGGCAAGAATTTGATGTAGGAAAACCCGCGAACATGATAAACTAGATAGGTTTGTAGTTTACAAGCCTTGAATATACATTATTCAATGTGACTCACACGTATAATTGCTAAAAAGAAATTAAATTAAAAGAAATTAAAGACGATGTTTCAACTATGTAATACTTCGATGTCGGTGGTTAACACAGTAATACCATGATCACCTCGGATTTCATTGTCTTCCGAGAGGTTTACAAACCCGAATTTCCCTCATGAATAACATGAGGGAAATTTAGAAGACAAAGGATTCTTTTGTCTTTTACTAAATTTCCCTCTATTTAATTTATGCAAGGGAAATTTAGTAAAAGACAATACTAAATCTCCCTTGCATAAATTAAATAGAGGAAAATTTAGTAAAAGACAAAAGAATCCTTTGTCTTCTAAATTTCCCACATGTTATTCATGAGGAAAATTGGAGTTCCTTTGCCTTCTATACTTCCCTAATGCCGTGTACAATGAAAATATAGTAGACTAGATACCCCTCAAAAGAATTTCTACTGAAAACAGGTCTCCTACACCATATGGCACTAGCATGTCTTCCATGTGGGACATTGTTTACCTAACTGCGCATGCCTGTGCACTTAGTTAAAAAATCGAAAATGTCTATGACAGATTTATTCGCAGTCACATAAAAAATATAATAAAAAATCACTTGTTTAAAATCGTTTGCTATAGCACCACAATGCACTTACACTTTTGCCAACTCGAAATGAAGCATCGAAAGAAATAGCGTTCAATACAGCAAAACTGATATAATTTATTGAACTTAGCTGTCTGTTCTAAAYGAAAACCTCTCAGACATGTTGTTTGAGCATTGTATACGAATTTTAATTCTGCGATATAAATATTATCTTTGGTACCCTAAGGGACTACAAAACAAGTGCATGAAATAGTACTAACGAACAAATGTTGAATCAATTACACAATGAAGACAAAGTAATGTGTTTGAAAACTATTGTTTGATTACATCATTATCAAGCCTAGGTGTCTAGGTGTCTAGGTGTACAATACGCTAAAGAGCTAGTTATGCATTTTGGCGGCGTTCTTTACGCTTCCTTGACTAGAAAACTGAACATGATATCAAGGATGTTTCCTTACTTCCTCGCCGATAAATAGTATTACAAAGTAATACCATGTCACTCGTGAAATTAGTGATTAAATTTCCCCGATACCTCGGGAAAATTTGTAAAAGTCCCTCGGGCTGCACAAATTTTCCCTCGGTTTCGGGGAAATTTAATCACTAATTTCCCTCGTTCCATGGTATTACTTATAATAAAGGGGCACGTGTAAATTTTTAACGAACACAAAGATTGATTCCAGTGAAAACATAAAAGCTCCATATCCATATTTTGGTTGMTAGCTGTATTTTAAGGATGGCCAAATAGTTCATTTGAGTTTAATCACTATTCACACCGTACACTTTAGTGATGGGTTTATTAGCATCTTGTCTGAATGCATACCATTCGGAAAAATAAAAAAGTCAGTTGGAGAAAAAAAGGTTTATGATAAACAGCTTGAAATTTTGTTCTTAACAAGGTAAAAATAGTCTTTTCTATTCGATTTTCCGGTCACAACATTTTCCGAGACAGTTGTCTCGTGATTCCCAAAATAAGGATTCGTCAACTGACTTTCCACTTTCGAGAATGATCCGATAAGAAAAGAGTCAGTAAAGTTTACTGAATTGCTGAAAAAAAGTTGACTGAATGGAAGTTTGTGCAAAAASATAAATTTCACACCGTGACGTTTAGGACGTTAATCATTCGTCGGAGTAAAAGAATGAATGGGAGCTTTTGAATGGGCTATTCATTGCGTTTTCGTTATTTTTTGTGGCATTTTTAATTAATTTAGTAAGGAGTGAACAAAATAAAATGCATGAAAACTTAAGGTTTTCTGCCCACTATGCCATNGTCATTTTTAATCATACCTTTAAGCATTTTTACAGCGACAATCGTTCTAGCACAGTCTTTTTCTTCAAAATTGGGACTATACTGTAATCTCTTAAGTAGTTTTGACCGTCTTTTAAAGGCAGCCGACTTCTTGCCATTAACACTGAACGACAAAATCCCTATTGCTTCGGCTTTCTTGACTTGACCAAACGCTCCAGAACCAATGATCTCCTGGAGAATTAGTCTCTTGACAGGAAACTCCCAGTCAGCATCGTAGGGCAATTCTTCACATTGCTCAAGGATAGTTCGGTTTGGGTCGAGCTATTTAATGAATAATAGCATTAAAGTGGGTGTAATTTCTATGCAGAGTGTTTCAATTTCAATTCAATTTTATTTTACGATATACAAATATAATTACAGAACATTACACACAAACCCACAAATATCATACCTAATCTAGGTACTTATGAATATGAATATATACACATAAAGATATAAAAGGAAAAAAAGGACAAATACTGATATATAAATGAGTAAACAGAATAAGCTATGTAGTAATGTAAATTGACGGTTCATATCTAAAGGCAGATTTACACGGAACGATTGTCGCGTGCTTTAAAATCCTATTACGTAGGTTGCACACAGAAAACACAAGATTTAAGCGCGCTTATCGTATACAACAGTTGTAAAGGAATTGAGGTCTTAGTAAAGACGAAACTAGCTTTCCTCAACTGAATCTTGTATTTGTCTATGTGTCAGAGGAGGGATAAAAGTATTTTGACATCTTCTAAAATAAAAAAAAAACAAAGGATAAAAAAAAAGAAAATAAAAAATTCCAAAAAAGAAAAGAATATCATTTCCCATATGAAAATGCATTTTTTTAGAAAATGGCGTCATCAGATATACCATGTAATCTTCTCCATTTCTAAGATATTTCATCTCCTGGTATTTCAAAAGTAATCTTTTCTGTCGACGATTCTGAAAGAGGCATGCCAACACAGCAATTAAGAGTACAAAGCCTAATGCGCCTCCAATCCCACTAGCAAGAATAATTGTGTTGGAATTTGAGCCCATCTCATCCTTGACGTCGGGCGGCTCTGTGTGGCGAGCTAAAAACATAAATATTAAGTAAGAATCCTGTATATAAATTAGAAGGGAATCATCAATACAGAAGGATAAGAAGCTATGATCAAGGTACTTGTCATCAGTTTCGTGATAAGAAACCGGAAGCCAAGAAAGCTAAACAAATGAGGATGGGCGTTTGTAATGAAATTCCGTATGACGGAGAACAGTAAAATACATTCAAAAACTCATACATAATTAATGAGCTACTAGGACAATAAAATGAGCCTATTTGGTTACATGCATGGACCTTTATATCTGATAAAACACTCCTTATTAGTATTCTTTATATAAAGGTGACCTTTATTAGATATAAAGGTCCATGACCCTATCAAAGGTCTCAGGTTTGAAACCTGATCATTGACCAATGCAGGATGTCAACCGATTGCAGTAAACAGCCAAGAGCGATTCTATTTTACTTTATACGTATTCAATGTGGGATGGCAAGAGTGCTTTATAAAGTGATTCGCGCATGATCAGTTTGCCCCATTTATCTCTGAACATATTTGTGCGGCAATTTCTCCAAGAATTTTAACGGATTTGAGTTTCAAATTAGTGTTGGAGTTTTTGAAGCCGTTTAAAACACTCTCTCTCGTGTTTTAAACTATACATACAAAATCGCATTAGAANTAAATTATGTAACTTATGATTAGAGTTGTTATTAATGTTCTTAAAAAGTTCTTGACATAGTACTTTTCTCCGGTTGTAAAGTGTAGGAAGTCCCGTACTGTCCAAACTGTCTTTATAGCTGCTATCAGGGAAAATGATTTTCAAGGCGCGACGCTGAATCCTTTCGATTTCCTGTGACAAGTAAGCAGGAAGGCTGCTGTGGAAAACTTGGCATGCGTATTCTAACACGGAACGAATAACACTGCAATAAAATCTGACAAGGTCTTTAGTGGCGATTCCAGCGCGTTTGAGTTGCCTTAATAAGTAAAGTCTTTTGGCAGCTTTAACAGTTATTTCTTCTATGTGGGTTGACCATATTGTAAATCGCTGCTAATAACAACACCGAGAACTTTAGCCGTCGATACTCTTTCAAACTCAACCCCTTGAATAGAGACTTGGGCAAATTCAGGAGGAGAACGTTTGAAACACGTCAGTAATTCCTTGCATTTCCTTGGGTTTAGCTGCAGATGGTTTTCTTGAGACCAATTATGGACGTGGTTTGTAGCGAGTTGGAGGGAACTAAACTTGGAAGATGGTACGATTTCGGAGATGGTGGTGTCATCAGCGAATTTCCACATGGAGAAAYYTTCAGGTAGACGAAGGTCATTGATCATCACCAAGAAGAGCCACGGACCCAAACGAGTTCCTTGGGGAACGCCTGCAGGGACGTCCAACCAATGAGAAAATACATCATTTATTCTCACCCTCTGTCTTCTACTCCTCAGGAAATCTATGATCCAGTTAACAGCTGAAGGTTTAACGTCTAGCATCAGGAGTTTATCAAGTAATATGTGGTGGTCCACCAGATCAAAGGCTTTGCGGAAATCTAGTAAAGCAGTTCTYACAGTTGATCCAGTGCCGTCAGTAGCATGTAGCCAATGATGGAACATAGAAATAAGAGGAAAAGTAGTGCAAGATCCAGGGATGAATCCAAATTGGGCAGGGTCAATGGCCGGTAGTACTACAGGTTTCAGAGCCTTTTCGATGATGAAGTCCTCTGCTATTTTAGAGAGTGTGGACGTCAGAGATATAGGTCTAAGGTCCTTGTTGATGTCTACGACAGTTGCTGTTTTTGGAAGCGGAACAACATTAGCAATTTTACAGACTTTGGGAACCATACTCTCGGAAAATGATGCATTAAGGATAGAGGCAATCGGAGCTGATAGAATCTCTGACCTTGAACATCAGTTCTTTATATATGATATAGAACTGATTAATAAAACATCAGTTCTATATATCTGATATAGAACTGATTAATAAAATATCAGTGCTTTATCGGGATATAAATGCCCATCATGTGACCCAATAGTTCGATACTCATTGGACTAATAGCTCATGAATTATTAATGAGTTCTAGAAGAAGCCGTTTAAAACACTCGAGATCGTGTTTTATCAGGTATAAAGGTTCTCGCCTTCGGCTCGAATCTTTATACCTGATATAACACTCTCTCTCGTGTTTTAAACTATACATACAAACTGGGTGATTGATTTGCGACCAGGCCTGCATATGAATTCGCCAAGGTTGTAAGCCMGTGAGCCCGTGCATTTTTGTTAAGCAGTCTTATTTGAAAGTGTAAATAAAGAAAGGGAAAACCCGCAGCTTGCCTTTCACTCAGACAAACAGTACAAGTCGTGTTAAATTTATTTACATAACTAAAMAAAATGATTATAGAATTAAACCTTTAAGAATTGAATACTCATATGAAACTTTTTCCACCTTAAATACACACGTGTTTTTCAGAAGGGAATTTAGTCGAACTTTTTTCACGATGGAATTTTGTTTTGAGTCGTTTCGACATAAACAGTCGCTATCAAGACATTACACGAAAAACCCCAGTCACCGTTCTAGCTCTCGTTGCAAGGTCAGAGCTAGTAAATGTGTAACTGGCCTGTTACATAACGTCAAATCGTCGACCACGCTTGCGGCTTATTGCCGAAAATGCGACAAAGAATGAACTACCGTTGTTTGTACCAAAAATAACAAACGCTTTAACTCTATTGGAATACGTGAACCTAAGCTGCTCTAGCTCTTCCAGTGATGTTGTAGATACCTCAAAGCTTAGAGGAAACAAGAGCTAAGAAAAATGATTTGCAATGGTTCCTCATAAGATACATTGGACTTGAACGTCGCTTCAACGACCTTCTGAAGTCTTCGTGAAGTTGGTCATTGCTTCGCATGCAATGGAGAACCCGCGTTGAACACAGAACAATTATTTCTACTATCAGGGAGGGGAGTCTCGTGGTATTAAAGAAAAAGTTATTTGTTTCTTCATTTTTAAGATAAAATTCCCTTTCTATAAAGATAAAGATTTTCAATTTGTCTTTGCGTTTTAACTTCGATTTTTCGGATAGAATAAAATGACAGGCAGCCTATTCCACTGGGTCGAGTTTTGCTGTGCAAATTCCTCCCGTCGCAGGGTTATGTTTACAACATAAGCTTGTCAGCTTTGCGCTGATTGGCTAGTCGCATTTTCTCAAATCACCCAGAAATCGCATTAGAACTATGCCGCATTGCGTCTTTCTTATGAAAACTTAGAATAAGGAAATTAGATATTAATCTCGTCATATATTATGCGACAGAGCAGAATCATTTCAACAGTCTTTGATAATATACTACACTGTGAGAGACAACAATTTGATGTGCGCCTTTTAAGTTGGATACCATACGTGACTTTACGAGATGCATTGGATTGACTGAAGTATAAACTGAGCCATGTCCCTTTTTTGGTTCGTGTTTCTGGTGTTTCAGGCTTTCAAACAAGCATTAGCTATCTCACTGACAGGTTAACATACTCTCAGGAGGAGCCAAAGGGGTCTGTTCTTCTAAATAATTGTTCTTGTACTAATGTTTTCCTGGGAAAGGGATTTTTGAGCTACATTGTTGACAATCTCACAAGCAAATGTGACGCCCTTCTTTCTTTAAACTAATTTTGTTCCTGGCAAACATTTTTTTAGGTCAAAAAAGAAGTTTTTTATCTTCAAACACGGCTTATATTTTTTTTAGTAAGGGAATTTTTATTTTCCTTGCCTGGAGAGTTCTTTTTTCCTGAATTTCTCGCGTCGGGCAACCCGGTTGTGGCTGGTTCAGTATCCTGGGCTTTTTCTGTTTTTGATAATAAAAAAATAATAAAATAAATTGCAACGGTGTGCATGCATTTCACCAATAAGATACAGCGATAATCAAGCCACTTTCTCACCTTGACACTCAGCTTCTCTCTTGCTTGTGTTTACTTTGTCATAACCAGCTTTACAAATACACATTCCTTTAGAGTTGTTACTCCATTTTCCCTCAGCTTCGCAAAACCAAAACGGTTCGTTTCCATAACTCTCAGGCTGCGCGTAAGGAAAGCACTGGCCTCTGACTCCCTGTGACCCACACGGGGGTGACATCGTCATTGGCACTCGAATAAGACTTTCTGAAAGAGTCTTGGCAGGGCATTGATAATAGTGAGCAATCACACGGGACATACTGATACATCCGCCAGTATAACGAAATGCAATGTAAACGTACGGATACTCCTGCCTTAAATCAATTGGATATGTCTCTACGTTTGTCAAACTTCGAATATTTCTCATGTCCTCATATGCAAATCCCATGACCATATATTTTGGACTGACAGCCGATTTTAGATCATATGCACCATGGTTTAAGTAAGGATTTGGGATCTTGCCAGTAGTGTACATCTCTGATGCTAAATGTACATATATATCAAAACTCTCCTTGCAATATTTAACGTCTCTCATCTCCTTACCAGAACAGCTCCAGATGGCGAATTCAACTGTAACGTCGATTCTGCGAACCTTTTTAATTTTGATGGCATCAGTTATTAACCAGGAGTTCGGTTGGTTTTCTGTATACATTGCGCATGCCAGGTACTCGGTAGTCTCACCATTTGCATTTGTTATCTGGAGAGAAACAAACAACAAATCAATAAATATATGAACAAATAAATATNGCCAAGAGCGATTCTATTTTACTTTATACGTATTCAATGTGGGATGGCAAGAGTGCTTTATAAAGTGATTCGCGCATGATCAGTTTGCCCCATTTATCTCTGAACATATTTGTGCGGCAATTTCTCCAAGAATTTTAACGGATTTGAGTTTCAAATTAGTGTTGGAGTTTTTGAAGCCGTTTAAAACACTCTCTCTCGTGTTTTAAACTATACATACAAAATCGCATTAGAACTATGCCGCATTGCGTCTTTCTTATGAAAACTTAGAATGAGGCACTTGGAAATTAGATATTAGATCTCGTCATACATTATGCGACAGAGCAGAATCATTTCAACAGTCTTTGATAATATATTACACTGTGAGAGACAACAATTTGATCTGCGCCTTTTAAGTTGGATACCATACGTGACTTTTACGAGATGTATTATTGGATTGACTGAAGTATAAACTGAGCCATGTCCCTTTTTTGGTTCGTGTTTCTGGTGTTTCAGGCTTTCAAACAAGCATTAGCTATCTCACTGACAGGTTGTTAACATACTCTCAGGAGGAGCCAACGGGGTCTGTTCTTCTAAATAATTGTTTTTGTACGAATGTTTTCCTGGGAAAGGGATTTTTGAGCTACATTGTTGACAATCTCACAAGCAAATGTGGCGCCCTTCTTTCTTTAACTAATTTTGTTCCTAGCAAGCGGTCAAAAAAGACGTTTTTATATTCAAACACGGCTTATATTTTTTTTAGTAAGGGAATTTTTTTTAGTAAGGGAATTTTTATTTTTTGATATATTTAGTATTTTGGCCTCGCAAGACTTTGATATTAATTTCATCTTGATTTCCTCAACAATTAATTTTTATTTTCCTTGCCTGGAGAGTTCTTTTTTCCTGAATTTCTCGCGACGGGAAACCCGGTTGTGGCTTACAGCTAGCTGGAACATAAGAACAGATATATTTCTTCCAGGAACCCGTCAGCTCCTCCTATACTCTAGTATGTGGCATCTCATTTAATGCTTTTCCAAAGCATTCTCGATCCCGTCCAGAGCACACGTCGGACCGCTCTCTTATATACTATACCATAATTCATTTAACCATTAAAGCAAATGGTGTATTTGGTTGTAAGGATGGGATTAGATATGTCACCTTTTCAGGCCGATTTACACGGTACGATTGAGGATTGTTGAGGAAAATAGTTGACTAAAATGCTTTACCACGTACGCACGGTGTATTTGCGTACAGGAATATACACTATCCTTCGATTCATGATATAACGAAAAAAATATCTACTAACCTGGTTCAGTATCCTGGGCTTTTTCTGCTTTTTGATAATAAAATAAATTGCAACGGTGTGCATGCATTTCACCAATAAGATACAGCGATAATCAAGCCACTTTCTCACCTTGACACTCAGCTTCTCTCTTGCTTGTGTTTACTTTGTCATAACCAGCTTTACAAATACACATTCCTATATTAGAGTTCTCACTCCATTTTCCCTCAGCTTCGCAAAGCCAAAACGGTTCGTTTCCATTACTCTCAGGCTGCGCGTAAGGAAAGCACTGACCTCTGACTCTCTCTGACCCATTCGGGGGGGCCTTCGTCATTGGCACTCGAATAAGACTTTCTGAAAGAGTCTTGGCAGGGCATTGATAATATTGAGCACTCACACGGCACACACTGATACATCCACCAGTATAACGAAACGCAATGTAAACGTACGGATACCCCTGCCTTAAATCAATTCGATATGTCTCTCTGTTTGTCGAACTTCGAATATTCTTTATGTCCTCATATGTAAATCCCATGACCATATATTTTGGACTGACAGCCGATTTTAGATCATATGCACTATGGTTTAAGTAAGGATTTGGGATCTTGCCAGTATTGTACATCTCTGATGCTAAATGTACATATATATCAAAACTCTCCTTGCAATATTTAACGTCTCTCATCTCCTTACCAGAACAGTTCCAGATGGAGAATTCAACGGTAACGTCGATTCTGCGAACCTTGTCAATTTTGATGGCATCAGTTATTAACCAGGAGTTCGGTTGGTTTTCTGCATCATACATTTGGCATGCCTGGTACTCGGTAGTCTCATCATTTGCATTTGTTATCTGGAGAGAAACAAACAACAAATCAATAAATATATGAACAAATAAATATGTTGACAAATAAAATTAATTAAATAAAATCGAAATAAT